AGGAGAAGCTGAGGCCTGCGGCCACCGCACTTGAGAAACTCAGAGGCCTCGGTCTTTAGGACCAGGGGAGAAACTGAGGTCCGGGGGAACAATGCGGACTCCAATAGGCAACAGCCTCGCGCAGACACAGGTGGAGTCAAAATGCTCCAGCCGGCCTCAGTTGCTAAAGAATTAACTCCCACCCTCCTGGGCGGCCCTCGACTGATTCCGTGATTGGACCGTAGCGGAGCCGGCCAGCCAATGATAAGAGTCCCATTTATTTCACCCTCAACCAATCGATAACAAGCTGCTGCATTCCCGCACCAACCAATCCGTATTAACTGTCTGATTACACCAACTCGGATTTGACCAATGGGCAGACGTCCACATAAGCCAATCAGCAGAAACTCTTAGTTCAGAGCGCAAACCATCAGAGGCAGGGACCGGACTTACCAGCCAATCAGCTCCGGGTATAAGGCCAGCCAAGTCCAGCCCTCCATACCCTTGGGCGGAGCAGTGGGCGGGGGGATCGGGCTGGTTGCGCGCCGGATCAGTGTAGCCCCGGCCTTTGTCACCTACCTTGTTTAGGGAAATTCGTCCTCGACCCTGTCCTGGGACCTTCGTCCCCAAGCCTGAGCGCTGGGATTTCCCTCAGTCCCTGGCAGGGCTGAAAGTCCAGGATGGGGACTTCCTAAAGCTCCCGGACGCCGTGGGATAGGCTCAAATATGGGTGGCTTTGCCCAGACCGCAGCGGGGAAGTGGGAACTGGACAGTAGGGGTGCGAGGGAGGCTTTCCGGGGTGCCAGGGAATGTTCTCAGGAAGAAGACTTAACATAGAGCAAGAGCTGGGTACATGTGAACTATTGTTGTTATGATTATTATTGTTCAGCCCAGGCACCCTTTAGGGGCCCCACCCTGACTGTCCAGCCAACAACAGGCATCCCCAAGGCCTCCAGACTCAGCATAGCCCCAACCGGCCGCAGTTTATTTCCCCAAGTCCTTACACACATTCTCTTTGGCTTTTGCCCGTCCCCTGCCTTCCAAAACCCTGAGCCACACCTCCAGCCTCTTGCACCCGAATCCTGGCCGTAGCAATGGGTCTCAGGCCTCCAAACTCATGCCCCACCCTGTCGGTCTTCCACTGTTGCCCCAGAGGGCTCTTTCTAAGATGCACCTGTTACCACTGTTACCACCTCCCTCCCATATTATTATTTTTCTTTTTTCTTTTCTCTTTTTTTCTTTTTCTTTTCTTTTTTTTTTTTTTTGAGACAGAGTCTTGCTCTGTTACCCAGACTGGAGTGCAATGGCAAGATCTTGGCTCACTGCAACCTCCACCTCCCAGGTTCAAGCGATTCTCCTGCCTCAGCCTCCCAAGTAGCTGGGACTACAGATGCACGCCACCACACCCAGCTAATTTTTGTAATTTTAGTAGAGAAGGGGTTTCACCATGTTTGCCAGGCTGGTCTCAAACTCCCAACCTTGGGTGATCCACCTGCGTCAGCCTCCCAAAATGCTGGGATTACAGGTGTGAGCCGTTGTGCCCAGCCTATTTTCTTTTTTTTTTTTTTTTTGAGACGGAGTCTCGCTCTGTCGCCCAGGCTGGACTGCAGTGGCCGGTTCTCAGCTCACTGCAAGCTCCGCCTCCCGGGTTTACCCCATTCTCCTGCCTCAGCCTCCCGAATAGCTGGGACTACAGGCACCCGCCACCTTGCCCGGCTAGTTTTTTGTATTTTTTAGTAGAGACAGGGTTTCACTGGGTTAGCCAGGATGGTCTCGATCTCCTGACCTTGTGATCCGCCCATCTCAGCCTCCCAAAGTGCTGGGATTACAGGTTTGAGCCACCGCGCCCGGCCGCCTATTTTCTTTTCTTTTGGAGACAGGGCCTTGCTTTGTCTCCCAGGCTGGAGTGCACTGGTGCAAGCATGGCTCACTGCAGACTTGGCCTCCTGGGTTCAAATGATCCTCTTGCCTCAGCCTCCAGAGTAGCTGAGACAACAGGCGTGACCACCATGCCTGGCTAATTTTTAATACTTTGTAAGAGAAGGGGATCTCACTATGTTACCCATGCTGGTCTCCAAGTCCTGACCTTAAGCAATCTTCCCACTCAGGCTCCCAAAGTGTTTGGATTACAGGTGTGAGCCACCGCACCCTGCCCCACTCCCATGCTCTAAATCCTCCTGTGGCTCCACATTGCCTTAGACAAATACAATGAAAACTAACGACCCTGGCTGGCCGCGGTGGCTCCCGCCTGTAATCCCAGCACTTTGGGATCACTTGAGGTCAGCAGTTTGAGACCAGCCTGACCAACATGGTGAAACCCCATCTCTACTAAAAATTAAATTAGCTGGGGGGTGGTGGCGGGCACCTGTAATCCCAGCTACTCCAGATGCTGAGGCAGGAGAATCACTTGAACCTGGGAAGTGGAGGTTGCAGTGAGCTGAGATCATGCCATTGCACTCCAGCCTGGGCAAAAGAAGCGAAACCCTGTCTGGAAAAAAAAAAACAAAAAACAAAGATAAAACGAAACAAAAATGAACTCACTGACCTTACTTAGTATAGCTGATACTATCAACTTTAACAGACAGTTCAGTGGATGAACACATTGCCCATAGTCCCACGGCCTTTCTGTGGTTTCTAGAACACCTCTTCTGCTATGTATACAAAGTCTAGCCCTGGTAACTATTAAGGAAATTGAATTTGTAATTTAAAAACTCCCAACAAAGCAATCTCTAGGCCCAGATGGTTTCATTAAGTAATTCTGCCAAAGGTTCAAAGAAGAATTAACACCAATTTCACATAGTCTCTTCCAGAAAATTGAAGGGGATATTTCCCTGTTCATTTTATGGAACTATGACCCTGATACCAAAACCAGGTTTTGGTATCCTTAACAAAATATTAGAAAGTAGAATTCAACAATATATCAAATGAATGATACACCATGACAAGTGGGGTTTACTCCAGGGACCCAAGACTGGTTCAGTATTCAAAAATTCATCAATTGTCCACCATCTTAAACAGGCTGTGGTAGGCAGAATAATGGTCTCTTAAAGATATCCATGTCCTAATTCCCAAAATCTGTGAATATGTTAGGATACGTGGCAAATGGGTTTGAAGATTAAAGATAGACGCCAGGCACAGTGGCACACACCTGTAACCCCAGCACTTTGAGAGGCCTAGACTGGAGGATCACTTGTGCCCAGGAGTTCAAGACCAGCCTGAGGACCAGGCACACTAGCTCACGCCTGTAATCCCAGCAATTTGGGAGGTTGAAGCAGGTGGATCACAAGTTCAGGAGATTGGGACGATCCTAGCTAACACAGTGAAACCCCATCTCTACTAAAAAAAAAAAAAAAAAATGCAAAAAATTTGCTGGGCATGGTGGCCCGCACCTGTAATCCCAGCTACTCGGGAGGCTGAGGCAAGAGAATTGCTTGAACCCGGGAGATAGAGGTTGCAGTGAGCCAAGATGGCTCCACTGCACTCCAGCCTGGGCGACAGAGCAAGACTCCGTCTCAAAAAAAAAAAAAAAGACCAGACCAGCCTGGGCAACATAGCAAAAACCTGTCTCTACTAAGTGAAAAAAGTAGCTGGGCGTGGTGGCATGCAACTGTAGTACCACCTACTCTAGAGGTTGAGGCTGGAGGATCACTTGAGCCTGGAAGGTCGAGGCTACAGTGAGTTATGACTGCCCCCCTGTACTCCAGCCTAGGCAACATGGTGAGAACACATCCTTAAAAACGTAACATAAATGGCCGGGCGCGGTGGCTCACGCCTGTAATCCCAGCACTTTGGGAGGCCGAGGCGGGCGGATCATGGGGTCAGGAGATAGAGACCATCCTGGCTAACACGGTGAAACCCTGTCTCTACTAAAAATACAAAAAAAAACCAAAAATTAGCCAGGCGTGGTGGCGGGCGCCTGTAGTCCCAGCTACTCAGGAGGCTGAAGCAGGAGGATGGCGTGAACCCGGGAGGCGGAGCTTGCAGTGAGCCAAGATCGCGCCACTGCACTCCACCCTGGGCGACAGAGCGAAACTCTGTGTCAGGAAAAAAAGTAAAATAAATTAGTTGGGTGTGGTGCTGCCACCCTATAGTCCCAGCTCTTCAGGTGGCTGAGGCAGGAGGACTACTTGAGATTGGGAGGTGAAGGCTACAGTGAACTATGATCATCTCACTGCACTCCAGCATCAACAACAGAACGAGACACCGTCAAAAAAAAAAAAAAAAAAATTGCAGATGAACTTAAAGTTACTAGTCAGCTAACTTTAAAATAGGGAGAGTAGCGTGGATGATCCAGGTGGGCCCAATGTAATCATTAGGGTCCATCAAAGTAAGAGAAAGGGCCAGGTGTGGTGGCTCATGCCTGTAATCCCAGCACTTTGGGAGACCAAGGCAGGCGGAAAACTTGGGGTCAGGAATTCGAGACCAGCCTGAGCCAACATGGTGAAACCTTGTCTCTACTACAAATATAAAAATTAGCCAGGCGTGGTGGCAGGCACCTGCAATCCAAGCTAGTCAGGAGATTGACGCAGGAGAATCTCTTGAACCCGGGAGGCAAAGGTCACAGTGAGCCAAGATTGCACCACTGCAGTCTAGCCTGGGCAACAGAGTGAAACTCCCTCTCAAAATAGAATAAATAAATAAATAAATAAATAAAGAGACAGACAATGTATCTGTCTTTGCAGATATAGCCAAGATTATTCTCCCATTCAAGTAAACTTATACATTCTTGGCTGGGCGCAGTGGCTCACGCCTGTAATCCCAGCACTTTGGGAGGTCAAGGCGGTTGGATCACTTGAGGCCAGAAATTTGAAACCAATCTGGCCAACATGGCAAAACCATGTCTCATCTCTACTAAAAATATAAAAATAATAAAATATTAAAAATTAGCCGGGCATGGTGGCGGGCGCCTGTAGTCCCAGCTACTTGGGAGGCTGAGGCAGGAGAATGGTGTGAACCCGGGAGGTGGAGCTTGCAGTGAGCCGAGATTGTGCCACTGCACTTCAGTCTGGGCAACAGAGCGAGACTCCGTCTCAAAAAAAAAAAAAGTAAACGTATACATTCTCTTTCTTCTTGGTTCCATGCCAGAGAGGCGGGGATTTCCCTAGGATCATGGACCTGCCCGGCTCAGCCTCTGCCCAGCCCTGGCAGGGGAGGGAGTTGACGGGCTGACACAGGAAACTCCCTTGGAACCTGTTTCTCAGCTTTCTGGCCCAGCTGGGGCACCCACTGGAAGGAGAGGCCAGGCGGAAGACCCTGGCCCTGCCATGGCCTCTGCCGTGAGGCCACCCCGGGTCCCCAAGCCTAAGGGTGTCCTGCCTTCACACTACTATGAGAGCTTTCTAGAGAAGAAGGGGTCCTGTGACCGGGTAAGGTAGGGAGGCGGGGGCTGGCCCTGTTGGGTCACCGCGGGGAGCTGCAGCACCTCTCTGAGCCCCAGTCTCCTCACTCGTCAAGAGGGGTGCAGTGGGTGCTGGATGGGGCAGGGCGCGTGCTGGGGGTTGGTGTGGGTTCTGGCCATCTGCCTCTCTGTGCATCATCTCTGTTTCCATGTGTCTTTGGTTTCTTTTTCTCTTTCTCTCTCCCTGGCCCTTCTGTCTCTCCCAACGTCCGTCTCAGTCTCTCTCTCTCTTTGTCTCAATCTTTGCTTTTGTCTCTCGTTCACTCTCCTGAATACAAACAAGATCAGGCACTTTCTCCAGGAAACGGGGAGCCCTCTGACTCCGGGCTTCCTCCTGCTCCCAGCCCAGGACAAACTCCGGGAACCTCAGCTGCTGGGGTGAAGGCCGGGACAGGTGACATGTGAGGACAGTAAGAGCTGGTGGGGGCCACATTCCACAGGACAGATAGTGGCCATGGACAGTGCGTGCATGTGTGTGTGTGTCCTTATGTCTCCCCCAGCCCCTCCGTTCTCCCTGAGGCCCCATCTCTCCTTCCCCATGCCCCATATTCATTTTCTTTCTTTCTTTTTTTTAAAGACAGAGTTACTCTGTCACCCAGGCTGGAGTGCAGGGGCATGATCATGGCTCACTGTAGCCTCAAACTCCTGGGCTCAAGTGAACCTCCTGCCCCAGCCTCCTGAGGAGCTGGGACTACAGGCGTGCACTGCCTCTTCTGGCTAATTTTTTGGCCTAATTTTTCTGGCCTAATTTTTTTTTTTTTTTTTTTTAAAGATAGAGTCTTGCTGGCCAGGTGCAGTGGCTCACACCTGTAATCCCAGCATTTAGGGAGGCCAAGGCGGGTGGATCACCTGAAGTCAGGAGTTTGAGACTGGCCCGGCCACCACAGTGAAACCCCGTCTCTACTAAAAATACAAAAATTAGCCATGTGTGGTGGTGCGCGCCTGTGATCCCAGTTACTCGGGAGGCTGAGGCAGAAGAATCGCTTGAACCCAGGAGGCAGAGGTTGCAGTGAGCCGAGACTGTGCCACTGCCCTCCAGGCTGGCAACAGAGCGAGACTACGTCTAAAAAAAAAAAAAAAAAAAAATTGGGGTCTTGCTATGTTGCCCAGGCTGGTCTCAAATTCTTGGCCTTAAGCAATCCTCCTGCCTCAGCCTCCCAAAGTGCTGGAGGTGTGAGCCACCATGCCTGCCTCATTTTCTGATACAGATCAAAACAAACACCTCAGCTCTTCCCTGCCCTGCCCATGTCCCCGCCTCTGCCCCTGAGGTCCCCTTACCTGTAGTGGAGTGGACTTTCCTTCTACCTCCATGCATCCAAATCCTCCCCAACCAGCAAACACTTTGGAGGCAGTGGATCACTGCAGTTAAGAAAGATAATGGGGAAGGCCGGGCACAGTGGCTATGCCTGTAACCTCAGCACTTTGGGAGGCCGAGGTGGGCAGATCACCCGAGGTCAGGAGTTCGAGACCAACGTGGCCAACATGGTGAAACCTCGTCTCTACTAAAAAATACAAAAATTAGCCAGGTTGGCCGGGCGCGGTGGCTCAAGCCTGTAATTCCAGCACTTTGGGAGGCCGAGACGGGCGGATCACGAGGTCAGGAGATCGAGACCATCCTGGCTAACCCGGTGAAACCCCGTCTCTACTAAAAAGTACGAAAAAAAAAAAACTAGCTGGGCGAGGTGGCGGGCGCCTGTAGTCCCAGCTACTCGGGAGGCTGAGGCAGGAGAATGGCGTGAACCCGGGAGGCGGAGCTTGCAGTGAGCTGAGATCCGGCCACTGCACTCCGGCCTGGGCGACAGAGCGAGACTCCGTCTCAAAAAAAAAAAAAAAATTAGCCAGGCATGGTGGCAGGCACCTTAATCCCAGCTACTTGGGAGGCAGAGGCAGGAGAATCGTTTGAACCCGAGAGGCGGAGGTTGCAGTGAGCTGAGATGGTGCCACTGTACTTCAGCCTGGGTAACACAGTGAGACTCTGTCTCAAAAAAAAAAAAAAGAAGGCCGGACGCAGTGGCTCACACCTATAATCCCAACACTTTGGGAGGCTGAGGCTAGCGGATCACTTGAGGTCAGGAATTCGAGACCAGCCTGGCCAACATATCGTGAAACCCCATCTCTACTAAAAAATACAAAAATTAGCCGGATGTGGTGGTGTGCACTTGTAGTCGCAGCTACTTGAGAAGCTGAGGCGGCAGAATCGCTTGAACCTGGGAGGCAGAGGTTGCAGTGAGCCGAGATCGCACTACTGCACTCCAGCCTGGGCGACAGAGCGAGACTCGTCTCTTCAAAACAAAACAAAACAAAACAAAACAAAACAAAACAAAACAGCTCACGCCTGTAATCCCAGCACTTTGGGAGGCCGAGGCGGGCGGATCACCAGGTCAGGAGATCGAGATCATCCTGGCTAACACGGTGAAACCCCATCTCTACTAAAAATACAAAAGATTAACCGGGCATGGTGGCGGGCACCTGTAGTCTTGGCTACTCAGGTGGTTGAGGCAGGAGAATGGCGTGAATCCAGGAAGCAGAGCTTGCAGTGAGCCGTGATCATGCCACTGTACTCCAGCCTGGGTGACAGAGTGAGACTCTGCCTCAAAAACAAAATAAAACAAAACAAAAAACCCAAAACAACAACAAAAAACAAACCAAAACAAAAAAGATCACGGACCCGAATTCAGAAGACCCAGGTTCTAATCCCGGCTCCACACTTTCCTTACTCCCAGGCCTTTTGCAAGTGACTTAATCTTTGAGTCTCAGTTTTTTGTCTTCGGAAATAAGGGAGTTAGGGCTGTAGTCACAGTTCACATGTTGAGGACTCGACTCAGCGCAGGCCGCGGTGCTTCCCATGTGGAAAGTCACCTAATTCTCCTGAGATCCTCCAGACTTGGCACCATTGTTATCACCATTTTACAGCTGGGGAAACAGAAAAAGATGGCTCAAATAACTTGCCCAACAGCACATCGTGGGTACATAGTAAAGCAATATGGTAACTGGTAATACGGTGTTTAATCCCGTATTGATCTAGTCCCAGTGCCTGGAGGAGGGCTAGCACATAAAAAGCCTTCAGTAAATGTTAGGTAAATGCCTGTGTGTACCTGTGCGTGTGTCTACGGATGGACAGGTGGATGAGTAGATGGGGGGATGAGTGAAGGCTTGGTGAATGGATAGATGCGGGCTGGATGGTGGCTGAGAGGATGTGTGGATGGATGGATGAGTGCATATACAAGTGGGTGGATGATGGATGGATGGACAAGTGCATGGATGGATGATAGATGGGTGAGTAGGTGGATGCATGATGGAGGGATGTATGGATGGATGAGTAGATGGTTGGCTGGCTGGCTGGATGGATGAGTTGGGGGATGGATGGATGAACGGGCAGTTGGGTGGGTGGATGGATGATGGATAGATGGACGAGTGCATGGATGGATGATGGAGGGATGAGTGGATGGATGGAAGAGTAGGTGGATGCATGATGGAGGGATGTATGGACGGATGAGTGGATGGCTGGATGGCTGGATGGATGGATGAGTTGCGGGATGGATGGATGAATGGGCAGATGGGTGGGTGGATGGATGATGGATAGATGGACAAGTGCATAGATGGATGATGGAGGGATGAGTGGATGGATGGATGAGTAGGTGGATGGATGATGGAGGGATGAGTAGATGGATGGATGGATGAGTGAATGGATGGATGATGGAGGGATGCATGGATAGATGAGTAGATGCATGTATGGATGCATGGATGAGTGGGTGGATGGATGATGGACGGTGGGTGGATTGATAGATGGATGCATAGATGATGTAGGGATGGATGGATGGATGGACGGATGGGTGGACAGATGGATGAGTGGGTGGATGGATGACTGGATGGATGGTGGGTGATGTATGTATGGATGAATGAGTGGATGGATGGATCATGAATGGCTGGATGATGGATGGATGGATGGATGGACGGATGGGTGGACAGATGGATGAGTGGGTGGATGGATGACTGGATGGATGGTGGGTGATGTATGTATGGATGAATGAGCGGATGGATGGATCATGAATGGTTGGATGATGGATAGATGGATGGGGGTGATGGATGGATGAGTGGGTGGATGGTGGGTGGATGGATAGATGAATGGATGGGTGAATGGTAGGTGGATGGATGAATGGGTGGGCGTGTAGGTGGATGAGTAACTGGATGGATAGATGTGTGGATGGGTGGGTGGGTGGACAGATTGGTGGATGGATGGTGGGTGGATGGATGGATAGATGAATGGGTGAATGGTAGGTGGATGGATGAATGGGTGGGTGGGTGGATGGATAGATGGATGATAGATAGATGGCTAGTGGGTAGCTGGATGATGGAAGATGGATGGGACACCATTAAACCAGTTAGTTCAACTCACCCCTAGAGCCCCCATCTCTATAGATTGGCGGGGGTTGCTCTGGGTCCTTCATCATGTCAAGGTTCCGTCTGGTCCTTTCTCAGAGGAAAACGGATACACAGAAGCTGGGATGTGGGTGGGGTGGGTCTCCCCGAGAAGGCAACATTTGATCAGAAACTCAAGGCAGGAGGTGATCAAGATCTGGGGGCAGCGTGGGAGAGCACCATCAGTGCAAAGGCCCCGAGGCAGGATTGAGTACATGAGAGGTACTCAGCCTGGCCACCTCACCTCTTCTTTCTGCACCTCTGGTCCCCAGGATTACAAGAAGTTCTGGGCAGGCCTCCAGGGTCTCACCATTTATTTCTACAATAGCAATCGGGACTTCCAGGTAAGGTGGGAATGGAGGCTCCAGAGCTGGCCTTCCCTTGACCCCAGAGACCAAGCAGACAATGAGGATGGTGTGGCCATGATGGCTGCTACATCATCCAGAGGGCCTGGAGGCCAAGGAACTGGTGCCCAGACTCCCTGCTTCTGTGCCCCCAGCACGTGGAGAAGCTCAACCTGGGAGCATTTGAGAAACTCACTGATGAGATTCCCTGGGGAAGCTCACGTGACCCTGGCACCCACTTCAGCCTGATTCTCCGGAATCAGGAGATCAAGTTCAAGGTAGGTCCCTCGGTGGAGGGGTGCTGAGGGGAGGTGCTGGCATGAGATGCTCAAATGCCCCTCCCCTCCACTGTGCCAACCACAAAGGGGCAGGTAGTACAGGGCCCTGTGGGCCCTGGGTAAGACTTGGGTCTTGACCCCAAAGGAGCTGGTGCTATGGGAGGGTTTATTTTATTTTATTTTATTTCTTTTTTTTTTTTTTTTTTGAGACCAAGTCTCATCCCATCACCCAAGTTGGAGTGCGATGGCACGATCTTGGCTCACTGCAACCTCCGCCTCCCGGATTCAAGCGATTCTCTTGCCTCTGCCTCCCGAGTAGTTGGGATTACAGGTGTGTGCCACCACTCCTGGCTAATTTTTTGAATCTTTAGTAGAGACAGGGTTTCACCACGTTGGCCATGCTGGTCTCGAACTCCTGACCTCAGGTGATCCACCCACCTCGGACTCCCAAACTGCTGGGATTACAGGCGTGAGCCACCGCGCCCAGCCGAGGGTTTATTTTATTTTATTTTATTTTGAGACAGTTTCACTCTTACCGCCCAGGCTGGAGTGCAATGGCGCAATCTTGGCTCACTACAACCTCTGCCTCCCAGGTATAAGTGATCCTCCTTAGTAGCTGGGATTACAGGCGTGTGCCACCACGTGCGGCTAATTTTTGTATTTTTGGTAGAGACAGGATTTCACTATGTTGGCCAGGCTGGTCTTGAACTCCTGACCTCAAGTGATCCGCCCACCTCGGCCTCCCAAAGTGCTGGGATTACAAGCGAGAGTCACTGTGCCTGGCCTATGGAAGGGTTTAGAGCATGACAGGTCTGGGAACTGATCTATGTTTTTCTACTATTTTATTTTATTTATGATTTTATTTTGAGACAGGGTCTTGCTCGTCGCCCAGGCTGGAGCGCAGTAATGAGATAGATCATAGCTCACTGCAGCCTGGACCTCCCAGGCTCAAGCAATCCTCCCACCTCAGCCAAGCACCCTCCACTATGCCTGGCTAAGACTTTATTTTTTGTAGAGACAGGGGGCTCGCTATGTTACCCAGTCTGGTCTTGACCTCCTAGGCTCAAGTGATCCTCCCGCCTCGACCTCCCAAAATGCTGGGATTATAGGGGTGAGCCACTGCATCCAGCCTGACCTATGTTTTTCAAATGTAGATATAATAACATCAAAAATTATAACATCAGCCAGGCATGGTGGCTCACACCTGTAATCTGAGCACTTTGGGAGGCCAAGGCAGAAGGATAGCTTGAGCCCAGGAGTTCAAGACTAGCCTGGGCAACAAAGTGAGACCCTCATGTCTAAGAGAAAAAAAAAAAAAGCTGGGCAAGGTGGTGCATGCCTATAGTCCCAGCTACTCAGGAGGCTGAGGCAGGAGAATCACTTGAACCCGGGAGGTGGAGGTTGCACTTAGCTGAGATCATGCCACTGCACTCCAGCCTGGGAGACAGAATGAGACTCCATCTCAAAAAAAAAAAAAAAGAAGAGCGCCCCACTCCGCCTGGCTAGTTTTTTGTATTTTTTAGTAGAGACGGGTTTTCACCGGTTTAGCCAGGATGGTCTCGATCTCCTGACCTTGTGGATGCGCCCGTCTCGCCTTCCCAAGTGCGGATTACCAGGTGGTGAGCCACCTGCGCCGGCCTTTTTTTTTTTTTTTTTTTTTTTGTGAGAACGGAGGTCTCGCTCTTGTCGCCCTCCTGGGCTGGAGTGCAGTGGCCGCGATCTTGGCCCACTGTGCAGCTCCGCCTCCTGGGTTTACGCATTCTTCCTGCCTCAGCCTCCCTAGTAGCTGGGACTACAGGGCGCCTGACCCCTCGCCCGGCTAGTTTTTTTGTATTCTTTAGTAGAGACGGGGTTTCACCCTGTTAGCCAGGATGGTCTCGATCTCCTGACCTCGTGATTCCGCCAGTCTCGGCCTCCCAAAGTGCTGGGATTACAGGCTTGAGCCAACCGCGCCGCCAAAAGGAGGCCTTTTTGAAGGAGATCTGGCGAATGGGACAGAGGGCGCAGAGAGCCACTGCTCTTACCTCCACCCCGTTAAGATGAAGCCTTTCCACATTCCCCACTCCAAGGTCTCTACCTAGGGAACAAAGAAAGAAAAGAATCCATGTCAGTGAATCTCAGTCTACTCATCAATGAAATGGGACTAGGAAGAGTCCCTTGCTTCAAAGGGCTGTTTCTTTTTTCTTTTCTTCTT